CCAGTTGGGGGAGAGAGAGAGAGAGGAGAGAGAGAGAGAGAGAGACAGAGAGACAGTCCCTTATAAACCCATATACCCTATCCTATACTTACTTACTATATCTTAGTTACTCTAAGTCATCTAATAAACACAAACATAAACAGCAAACACTGATAATAAATAACTTTAATGGGTATTTATATACTGTAAATATATCCAGAATACATGTAGTAAACATAATTGTACACAATAACAGGATATACTTTATTTTCCACACTTGGACTGATATTTCAAGTATGCAGATCTGTTATAGCATCAGATACGTCGCAGTGCTTTCTTGGCAGATGGAAGAATATTGAAAGAATAAACAGCATATAAGTTATCTGGAAGAATCCCATCATGCAGTGCAGTATATTGCAGATAACTTTGGTGTCGACCAAAACAAAGCATTAGTTCATTTACAGAAGCAGAGAAAACAGCATCTGGATAGACACAGACTACAAAGACATCCATTACATTTACATTACATTCAAACCGTGGTGCCTTAAATATAACTGCAAGCGCACGACTTTCTTCATACACATTGATCTCAGCAACCTGCTCCTGGACCAGGTTTACTGAGTGATCTGGGTCATTTTTACATCAGTTCATGTACATGAAAACAAAAATCCAAATGGATCTGTAATATCTAAAAAGACATCTGATCGTTAGCTTCTGATCCAAATGCTGTTTTCTGTGCACTTGAACAACAGCTGAGGAACAACACAACACTCAAAACTAAAATCTATCTGTAATAATCAATAACTCTGTACACATTATTAATGTAAACTACATTAACAGTTGGTAGTTACATTCAACAGTCATTCATCAACTCATTTCTATCATGGACTCCATCCTGTTACATTACTTCCTTCACAAAACCACTTTGAACAGCCACAAAACAGTTCTTCTCTTTTGTTGCCTCCTTCACTTTTTACTGATTCTTCACTTTCAGTATCAGTGGATGTAATTAAAATGAAAAAGAAGTTAAACTTTCTCTATCATTAACCTAATTTAATTAAAAGCACACAACTGTGAAATGTTGTTTCTGTACAATATTTAGCACTAACAATTATTTTGTATTGCATGTTTGTTTGAGTTTGACATTAAAGATTTCTGCTGATCAGCAAAAAGTGAATCCACTGATGATTAATAAAACATGAAGGAGGTGCATCCTTTTTATGGCCACTGTATTTTTCTAATTTCTCACATACAAATGTGTACATATGACATTCTTACAAAAGATTAAACACTCAGATTCCTTTGAGTTAAACATACCGTTGTTAACACTGATCAATCATTGTGGTCTTCTGATCAATATTTCTCTATTTTTACATTTATTCAAAGCTAAAAAATAAAAATTCACTTCAACATCAGTTTCTTTAAAAATATTAATGCTTCTAAACCTGAAAAAAATGTATACTAAAAAAAACTTTTTCAAAGAAACAACAAATTTTATCAGAAGGGGCGAGAATCTCAAAACAAACTCCAAAGCTCCACCCTAGCCATAGACCACGCCCACTGTAAGACCCAATCAAAACCTGTCCGTCATACAAACCCCACCCGAGGTCATTCTCGCCCCAGTGCTCAATCAAGCCCCACCCAGACAACTGAAGTCTAAGCAGGTGAGGGTTCATCGTTCTTCCCAAGGCTTTCAATCAGTGGCTGACAGTCGACAGATTGTCAGTTGATTCACTGTCGGATAACTGTTGGATTGTTTCAGGGCTCTGAAACAGAAACATGTGTTGCCTTTGACTTAAAATGTCAACGTGAACAGAAAAGTTTTGTTTGTGATGCTCTGACTTAGGCTCTGGTTCTGATTCCCAACTTACTGTTCAAATAAAATTCTCTGTGATGGACAGCACGTAGAAAGAAAACAGCTCACAGCTGTTTACTGCAAATTTACAGTATAATATAGTTATACAGTATATATCAACAATATTACTGTATTCTTTACAGTATAAGTATATATAAACAGTATTATATTCTGAGTGTAGACACACACATGCAGAACAGCAGAAACCTGTCTCACAATTAAGAATAAACAGATTTCTGTTGGAACAAACATGGCTTCTCCTGCAGGCTGTTTACTAATAAATAACACTGTACTTTCAATGTAATACTGTACACAACAGATTATAAAGACCGTTCAACTCTGAAGAGCTGCAAGTTAAAAATAGGTTCATCAGCTCTGTCCTGTTAAGTCAGTTTCTATTCAGAAAACGATGAACTCTGATGGTTCCGGTTCTGCTTTCAAATTGAAACGTTTGAATTCAAGTGTTTTCAGTCCAAATTGAAGAGTTAATTTCATAATTTTAACAGATCTTCTGTTTCAACAAACATCAGCCTGACATCATCAGTCTGTTTCTGTCATCATCACTGATGACAAAAAAGCTGTATCACAGAATTGCAGGTTTTCCCAGATTCTGTTCAGTATTTAAAAATGTGTTTATGTGAAAATGGAAGACAGAATTCAACTAGCTTCAACTCATTTATCCGTTCATGAGCTGAATCTGTTGCTGTTAGTGAAAACATGCTGTTAACTGATTGGTCAGATGGCTGCTGTGATTCATTATTGCGTCTGTCTGTCTGTCCATCTGTCCATTCATCTGTGTAAACATGAGGCTGCCATCTTCTTCCCTTGATAAACATTCATTTCAGGCTTTCTTCTTTTTACTTCATTTTAGTTTGTGTTCCTCAGCGGCATCTTTACTTCCTTTCCTCTCAGATTCCTTTTGTTTGTCCTGCAGCAAACTCCACCTCCCCTGTGATGTCAGAATAGCTGGCCCCGCCTCCCCACTGATGTCAGAAGAGTAGACTTCGCCTCCTGGCTGGACTGTTTGCTAAACAGAAAAAACAATTAAAACTATAAGTCGACAAACAGCTTTGTTTTAAGATTCAACTCTTGAGCTTTCAGTCATATCACATGGTCTTCCTCCACTCTTGAGCTTGTCCAGTTGCCCTGGAGCTGAACTAGAAAAGCTCAACAGCAGCTATTAAATAAACCTCTGTTTCTTTTTCATCACTTAACTTCCGCCCAATATTTAAATTATTAATTAATCTTAGCTAATCACTCCAACCCCAGAATTTTATTTAAAGTTATTTAGTTATTTAGAGTCAGTAACCTCCCCCCCTTGCATCGATGCCTCTCAAGAAAGGTGTGAGGACTTCTTAAATTATTTTAGAAATAGAGTCGATGATATCAGTCAAAACATCGCCCCCCGGACCGAACTTTACAGATCAGCAGGGTCATCCATAGTTATTTTAGCTGCTTTGAACCGGTTTCACTACCCTTTTTAACGAAACTCGTATCACAAATGAAACCAGCTACTTGCAGCCTTGATTTTATCGCCACCAAGTTTCTTAAAGAGGTTATCGACACTGTTGGACCGAGTATTTTAGCAATTATTAACAGCTCACTAAAAAGTGGCATTTTCACACACCCTATTTAAACATGCTGTAGTCCAACCTCTTTTAAAGAAACCAAACTCAACCCTTCGGTTCTTAACAGAGTTTTTAGGCCAATTCCTAATGCTTCGTGTTCTATCCAAGGTCTTAGAGAAAGTATTTCTACGCAGACTTTTAGCTGTTTATGTCTCACATACGAACATCTTTTGAAAGTTTCCATCAGGCTTTTTTAAGCTTTACATGAGTACATAAACAGGGGGGGGGGGGCCTTCCTCCAGTATGACCAACGACCATTCTTTAGCAGCCGATTAGGGGAGAGAGCCACAATTTTAATCCTCTTAGATTTAAGTGCAGCCTTCGACACTGTTGATCATGCAATTTTATTAGACCGCCTGAAAACCTGGGTCGGCATCAAGGATACTGCTTTTAGCTGGTTTTATTCTTACCTTTTAGACAGAACCTTCTCGGTCACCACAGGTAATTATTCCTCAACTACAACTCCAATTACC